CCAGAGTGGCTTCGGCATAATTCTCTGTCGAAGTCTTACAACCCGAAAATTTACAATTTTCAGGTCTTTTTCGCCAGCGTCTAACCTATGTTGTAGTTCTTTCTCGGCTTCCCGTCTTTTAACACGGTCTGCCAACGGATAAAGACTCCTGAACCCTTTAATTTGCGTCCATTTTGTAAAATTAGGTCACGTTCGTTTGAAGAGCCGAATACTACTTTAAGCAGTCTGGAATGATTTGGTTTCGAGTCCGTTAGACTCCCTAGTCTATACGCCTTTAGCAAGGTGACCCCAGTCATATTTTGAGGCATGAGTTGATTAAGCAGCTGCCTAATCAGTACAATGTCATGCTCAAAACGAGCTTTAGGTTCAGAGCTATCGCTCTCCTTAATTCTATGAAAAATAGCTGATCTGTCGCTATGATCAGCTTTCGATTTTTCAACCACTTTTACGGGGGCAGGTTTCCCTTTTATATCAATACTTTTCTTCCTTACAACCTTTACCCATTCGTCAACGGTGCTGGTAGTAGCAATAACAGTTGCGTCAAACCTAGTGTTGGGTTTTGGAAGGATGTCGACGACCTGAGGGGTCGTGTTATGTTTACCATTTGAAACCGATCGAGCCTTGCGATTGCGGCTCCTAGCTGTTTCCTGTTGGATCCCATCTGGGAGACGGGGAACAGAAGACCCTACTTTTCTTGAGCTTTTTTTAAGGGCAGGCCCCTTTGGAGACTGCTTTTCCTTCTTTGACGGGCGTGAGTCATCTATCACCGGACTCACCTTAGTTTCCTTCACATTGATTTGCGTGTCAACAGATCGAGTGCTTTTTGACGCGTTCCGACTATGCTTGTTAAAATACTTCTTTGCAGCATCAACTAGTGAGATGGCCTCGGTTAACAAGCTGTTTGCATCCGAGCAGCACTGTTGACAAAGCCACACACAACCCTTCTTACTGAACCGTTTGAAAGCAGCAGGCGTTAAGTTCGTGCAAACTTCGTGGTACCAGCCTTTGCATTCGTCGCACTGCATGCCGCTTTCAACAGGATAACGACAACCCGGACGTTGGCAACTGCTTTTTTTACACTAGCCGGTCATTAGGGAGGGGTTGTTTTCAATATGCGATGATACCCAGAAACAAAAAATTATCAATGACCAAAAAAGTGAAGAGCTGTAGATTGCTAGGACCAAAAGTACTAACAGATACAGTTGAAAAAGAAGTACTAAAGAGTACCAACGACAAAACAGTAAAAACGATACTTTAGTCGAATACTTTAACTGAAATAAATTCAATTAAAGTGAAAAACAGTCGTCTTGATACGTAATAAACGATCGAAACAATGAAATTTACTGTCCTTTTTAAATAGCGCGCGTGCTAAATGTTGAATATCTATTTTCTCAATTGTCGCGTATTCAGCTTTGAGGATCGTGTGGTCAGGGTCCAACGCCACTATACTACTCTCCCACCAGAATCGACGTAGCATTGGTTCGATACCAAATTGAGTGCGATTGTTGTGTACAGGAGGTTACCATGAATAATAAGAATCCTTTGGGTATTGATAAGAAATTCGAACACTTCACTTCTATCTGAAGTTTATGCTGATGATGTCGTTCAGAAGAACGATGAAATCTCCACGACCAAACCATCCAGCTCAGATAACAAAATATCACCAAAATCTTCACCTAAATTTTCATTTCAAGCGTGTTAGGCAATAAAACATTTCAAAGTTATTACATGTAGTTCCCGATCAGTTGCTCGATTTGTCTTTCAGCTTATCAATACCCGGAGGATTCTTATTATTCATGGTAACCTCCTGTACACAACAATCGCACTCAATTTGGTATCGAACCAATGCTACGTCGATTCTGGTGGGAGAGTAGTATAGTGGCGTTGGACCCTGACCACACGATCCTCAAAGCTGAATACGCGACAATTGAGGAAACAGATATTCAACATTTAGCGCGAGGGAAAACTCAACGATGGAGAAGGCGGGAAGAACAAGTAGGTTCGTTCAAAATTCAAATTCATCGGGTGGCGTGGGTCGACCTTGCAGGCGTGATCACTCTTGAGAGTTGTGTTCTATCTTTTATTCATAACGAATATATCGTTATATATCTAGCTTACGCTTCTTCTTCATCATGTATTTGTTATTGTTACTAAGTAATGTGTTGGTGTTGAGATCGATGTGATTTACACTTATGATATTATAGATTAAGCGGTTTCATCATGACAAATCTACAGTTTTAGGCTGAGGTCCATTATTATAGCAGTACTTACATCGAAATAAACCATAGTTGTAGCAGGTGTCGTCTTTGGCTCTATATTTAGATATGGATAGATAATGGACGCGTCTAAATACCTATCTGTTAGTGTTACTAGCAGAATGATCATGTTACTTGAAATATAGTTCAGGCATATAGAACCGTAAAATCTGTAAACTCCTAAGCAACACGTATTTCATAATAAACGTTCATGCTGAACTAATAAACTAATCCCTAAAGGGATTAATCAGCTGCCTAAGGTAAAAGCTGACCTAATAATGTTATATTTATAGATTTCATCAAAGAACTTTTAAAGGTTTATCACTTCGGACTTAATGATAAGCTCTCGATTTTTGGAATTACAGTTTCCGTACAACAATGGATAAGCCGCTTCCTCTGGGGTCGAAGACACTATTGGTATTGGTTTGTGGATTGTCAAGTTTTTGACTGAGATCATGGACCGATTAATGTTAGATAACCATTAAAAACCTGGAAGCACTGGATGGTCGTTTCGTTCTATTATGGGATTCCTCACCAGTGAGCATCGACGATCCGACACCAAAGGAACTAGAACTTGTGGCCTTCAGTCTAGCGCGCGAACGCTTAAACTCTAGACCATTGAGACATCATCAAACGTTGTTGATGTCCAACTTCAACCAATCGACGTAATTGTGCAACCATCTTCCATTGTCTGAGGTAGATATCTGTCTATATCTAACATGGATGATTGCGACTTCTCGCTAGAAATTCGAGAATTCCCTAACGAAGCTACTCATTATTGAGACATTGTATGGATTGAAGCCAGTCAAAGCGGTGTATCTTATGGTACATTCTTAGATCCCCTAATTTTTCTTGTCTACATAAATGAATTGTCGCGACTGTTTTAGAAATCGACATTTCTGTCCTCAGATGGTGTCACAATCTGAGGAATAGTAGGTAGTTAGGCTGATCATCTTGATCTCCAAGCTGACCTAGACTAGTTAGTTAAATGGCTTCAAAGTTGGATCTTGGAAATGAATTCTAAAAAAAGCGTGGTAATGCGCATTAGACATGGCAATAGTTATAATATACTATCAAATGTACATCGCTTTCATGCATGAAAGAACACAAAGGCTTAGGGGTAACAGTATGTCACGACTTAAAAATAACTGTGTATTTCAAAGTAGCAGCCGCCAAAGGTTTTCGAACGTCACTTAATCGAACATTCAAGCGCTTTGACGAGGGGATATTACTGATTTTATACCCAATCTTTGTTAGACCATAGATGAAGCTCTGTGTTCAAGTAGCCAGTTCATGTCATACTAACACACTCGGGTGTGTTCAACGTTAGTTAAGGTCTTATCCCAACTCCCATACATTGATCACTTAATGCACAAAAATAACTTTCACTTGTCAAATCGTAGAACGCTAAGTGACATGATATCGGCATTCTGTATTTTAAAGAAATGATTTGGATATTAATAGGTCTTATCATTTTGCTTCCTCCATAAGTAATCATCTCTGAGGCCATATTAAGATGGTTCAAAGACTGTGATCTATTAAACTCAGAAAAGAAGTTCCGTTTTTCTCATTGAGAAGACAGTGACTCGAAGGTCCTACTCGAACAAGTGGTGCTAGATCCATCAACAAATATTTTCAATGAGAAACTGAATCTTCGCTGGAAAACAAGGTGGCAGGATTAACACAGATCCACTGGCCTTCTATCATTGTTACTGAATACTCAGCCACAAATTTATCGTCTCTAACGTCGTTCCTGAACATATTCTAGAATTCAAGTAGTTTAGTCTTTGAAAGTATGTCCAACAGTCCAGTCACAGACTTCATCGCAAAGCCGATATTGTAACAAGAAGTGTACAAGTTGATTTATCAAGTAAGAACACCCGAAACTGCACATTTGAATGCAGATGGGACTAGATTAACATAGGTGGACATCAGTTCATACAAAAATACTACAATAATGCATATAATGTAAACATTATTATTTCTGTAAAATAGCACTACTGAAGAACTCCGAGATGGTTTTCTCACAACAACTCAAATACCAGTTAGCTGTTTGTGGACAATATTAATATCTGTGTCCGTATTTGTGTCAATTAACATTAGAACCACATTCGAAAGAATTCTGGGATAATGTAGCATAAATCTTTGGATAAAATAAAAAGTGTAACTAGTCTTCTGGATAAATTTGACTTTGTAACTACTTTTTCACTATACAACAAAAACGTTTTCACAGAAATTCACTGGCAAGAGCCGATTTAAAGAACAAAGAGTAAACACCACTACGTGAGCCAGTCCACGGCTTGTGGATCGTAAAGATCGCACCTACAGAAAATATAAGAATAACTGACAATAACTATGAGTTAATCAACGAACAACGCATTGGATTTTTATTGCATCTATCCACTGAATGTACAATTTATAGACCTACTGACCTAATGTGATGAAAGATATCCATCATCATTCACTTCAGAATGTAAGATAATTAAAATGAATTTTCCAAATTATGGGATGTGTAGTTACATCGTCATGGATAACAACCCTTTAAAATGCTTCTTTTACCCACTAGACAAACGAAATGCTTTGTACGATGAGCTAGTTATTCTTAGATGTGATCCGTCAATGTAATGTAAATATAGCTAAATAAAGACCTGGAGTTTGAGTGAAACAGGAAGAATCAAGAAGAAAGGAACCAATCAACTTAATCATTCATTGTAGAGATATTGAATTTTTGTTACTCAACCTTTCTTCGTGTCAAGGTCACTGGCTTCATATATGTTGCACCACGTTGCCTAACGGGTTGTAGGGTGGATATGTTATTAGTGTGTTTTAAAGTTACTACCATTTTGAAATTACTCTCTTAACTAGTAGTAAATAATTAATTCCCGTTAGCTTGATGAATATGAATCTTAAGACACTTCGTCGTTACTGTTTTTGACACCCATTCACATTAAAGGGAATGATGCCTATTGTCATCACGTATCCATTGCGTAAAAAAGATTTACATCTAGAGTATAAAATATCAAGTCCACTCTTCATTCAGAATACACAGATGCAAGTACTCAGCGCCGAGATACAATCAACGGGAAAAGAATTCGACATGAATCATTAATGATTGATATCGAAGTTCTCATCCCTTGTTTTAAAATCTGCTTCTCCACTTCTCATAAATTGTCAGCATCTTGATTTGTGATCATCACATCAATTAGCCATTAGAAGGGATAAGGGTTACCGGCTATTTGCTGCTCACTATAGTGGTTTTAAAGCCCACGATAATTTTGATTGTAAAGTGGAAGGGATAAATATGCAGTTATAGAGAAAGATAATTAAAAAGTTGTAGGGGTTTAAATAGATCCTCAGAATGATATGCGTTTTTGATCCCATGGTTTTATGCTTTTCTCTTTTCGAAAATTTAGCATCACTAGTCTCACTAGTAATATATTGTGGTCGTTTTTCCTACGTAATTGACTATGAGCAGATTTTCTCAGCTTGCTGGGTCTTCTGATCTACAAAAACAATCGTGGGATGTAAAATCAGCCTCGGAACTCTATCCGGGGGACGAAAATAATTGTTCAAATTCAATTAAAAAATCAAAGGATAGAAAATCTCGTGCTTCAAAGCGTTCGACAGAGTCCATTCAGTCGCGTTCCACTGATACTACTTTAAAAAGTAGGTTTGATTTTTGATTCTGTGTCTCATTTCAAAGATTTCATCAATACATCTTTGTATAACAATTGGTCAGGTGTTTTTAAACAGTTTGTGTGTTAACTTTTTATTTATTTATTTGAACGCAAACGTTGATACAAGGGAGCATCAAATTCATATGTGCCACACAATAACAATGACGGCAGTAGTAGTTATCATTGATTTGTATGGGGGTTGTGATACTGCCCGGGTGCCCAGACCGAAACAAGTGGTTTTCTTAGGGGGCTTCTACCCGAGCCTTTGGCCTGAAGGTCTAACCCACAAGGCAGTGTGGCAGCGTAAGGAGTTGCAGTCCCATGGTATCTAGTGACCGACAATAGGTTCATATGCCATTTGTTCCTCCATGATACTGGAGCCCATGTGCATCATTGACTTGGAATCCTGGTCTTCCAACTCTACTAGGTGGGTCCTCCATATCCACCAACCCGTTTAGGGTGCCGGACATTCGCATTTCGTTCTCTCAATTTCGTAAGCAACACTCCTGATGAGAGAAGACGGAGTAGGACTTCCCTGATAGTGGCTGTATATGTGTGGTCATGTAAGAGCATTTGGAGAGTGAGAAAAAACTCTCATTCCTTGACTGTACCAGGGTATTTGGGGTTGAATGTTAACTAAAACTAAAACATAAAGTAAACGCATTGTAACAACTTATATATAGATTTAACCTCTGAATCTATTTCATTTTTAAAATATAATTGTTCTTTTTTTATGGATGTTAAGTGAACATAAAATAATCATATTTTAAATTCGTAGTGGATTCAGAGAGGTTAAATCTATATATCTTATCTCAGTGAGTTTTCTTTTCGTCTACGTATAACCTATTGTGTTGATGATTAAAAGGAACAATTTTTTTCATGCACTTATTTCTCATCTAGAACTCAAACGAGAATGATAAAATTCCCAGATACATAAGGATCATAGTTCGCGCACTATCCTGTGTTCCATGCAATATGATAAAGCTGCCTAATTCTGCGGAAATATGTCTCTTTAATAAGTTATGAAATATCCATTAAAAGACTACCAATTACTTTTAATAAAAGCTGACTGACTGAAATGTAGTTTAAATTAGAAGGGTGTTGAGAAAGATTTTATCGGGATTTTGAGGCTCATGTATACAATTAGTTTGAAATTGGTCTCTGGACCATCGACTTCTACTAACTCAATTCAATCACCAGACTTCTACCTTCAGCCTTTCATTTTGATGAGAATAGCCCCTAACACGCTCAGACACAGTAGGTCTTTTCTGGAAGAGGTAATGAAGGTGCGGTCGTGAAATAGCGTTCTGAGTGGACAGAGGTTTGTTTATTCCATCGGGTGTACCAGAACATGTAATTCGAATTGAATTAAACTTGCTAACCAGGTGTAACTTTGTTTATTGAGGTTCTAGCTAAATTCACTGTATGTAATGGTCAAAAATGGTAGCAAGTAGTAGCTTGTTCAGAGTTTGCTTGGTAGTGAAATGACATTTATCATTTAGCTTCTGAGAAAACTTTTAACCTCGATGGATAGCGAGAAATTACACTTGGGCAAATGCCACTTTTAAACTCACTAATTTAAAACATAGTCTAGTAATCTATAGATTGCTTTACTATTTATGTGTATTTATTGTTTATAGCCTACTCATTCTGAGTGTAGATTTAACGTTTCTCAGTACGTGGCCATTTTCCCAAGTGACTTTTCACCATTACTTACTATACTATTGTTTATGGAGTTCTAGATAAAGATTGTTTTTAGTTAACAGACAAATTTCACTCGTAATTTATCTTTAGTATTTCGTGTTTGATTTGTTTCATTCATCCAAAGTTGACGCAAAACCTACACCGAGTACTGTTACCCTTGAGCGCTGTAGAGATATACAAGAAAACTTAAAAGGTAAACACGAAAACTTGTAAATTTGTCACGTTAGTTTTGTTGTCACATCCTGACCCAGGTTCAAAACACTCTCTACCTACTCCAGTTTAAAGAACTGGGTAGTATAATACGTGGAGTATGACTCATACCCAAGTGTTTGGTGAGTTAATTATATATATGTGTATATACTACTGATATGGTTATTATTTCTATTTTGTCTTGATGATTTCATGCCGCTGTGTTAATGTGAGGCATGCAGACATGAACTGACGGTGCCCGTGTGCGCCAGGTTCTGAGTTGTACATGACTAATTGACCAATGTAAACCCTCATCAAATTTCTTTTTGTTTTTTAGACGATATCGATGGTTTGTACATTGAACCGTGTGGATTTCGTAATGTAAGAAATTCGTGTTTCCTTAATGCTTCTCTCCAACTCTTACTCAATATTCCAACTTTATGTTCAACTTTGTATAAATTTCGCGGTATATGCGTTTCTTCAGCTGAATCCGCTTTCCATGCTTCAGGCGTTCAAGGAAAGAAAACCCCTTTGACAGATCAATTGTAAGTTTTACCTTCAATTCGTCTAGTTGACCTTTTATTTAAACCTTCACACTTGGTAGCTTTGTATTGATGGTAAAAGAATCTGGACATTATTGTCAGTGTTTACTTTTCAGAAATATACTAGGATATCGTACTGGAGATCAGAATATTACGTCGAAATATTCATTATTTCTCTGAATCAGATGTTTCATTACCATTCATTTTCCCACAGAGATTACTAGTTTTATACTGCGCTTACCGCTACCCAAATGTTTGACTACAAGTTATGCATTGTGTACACCGTGTTTGTTTACATTCTACTTTTGATAGATATTAGAAGGCATTTAAAGACTAGTAGTGTTTTTTGCTATATTACACTATTTTAGTACAATAAGTTAATCATTTTTGGTAATATAAAAGTTAAATCAACTTAGAAGACGTTATCTAAGCATTAGTCAATTGGTAGCATTGGGCAATAATGGTGGCGTATAGAAGAGAACTAAATATTTTGTATGGTAGACAGCTTTAAGGGTGATAGTAGTACCTGGTTATCAATTGTATGAATATTTTATGTAAGTGGTGAACAAAACAACGGACTATGAAAATAAGTATTTATGCGATAGAAATTTTTCATTTAACCAATACCACAATAGTGTAGTATAGCAATTTAGGCTGTTGGACATTTATACTGGGATCCAAAGTGATTATAACTGACTGAACCATGTTTTATTTCCGTGTTTTTTGTCTTCAGTGACACGACATTCAAATAGTTTGAATGAATGAAAGAGTGGAAACGAAACTATTTTACATTGATTCGTTAAATTTTCTTTGAAGTTCAAAAAGCAGTATGGTCCTAAGGAACTAAACTACCGTCTTTAAAGATCAAAACATTTCTTTAATCGTCAAGTTAATTTACGGTTAAATAAAGGTGAGAAATCTCGTAATATTGAAACAACTAATTTATAAAGTACGTATACATGTACTCAACCTTGTGGCACATTTCAAATGTGAATAATTTACAGAATAATGAAGCAGACGAAGGAATGGGTTCAAATTTATGGTTCACTGGTTGAAAGACACGAGCTTAATTGTCAATCTACTGTTCCACTGGTTAAAGCCTAAATAATGTGATTGCTAGATCCGTTGATTATTCAACATGTTTGAATCATTTCGTCATTACACGACAGACGCAAAAACTTATACAGACTATATGAATACTATATACATATAACTTGTGTGTGTGTGTGTGCTAATTGAGCATTCATTTTTCCGCAAATTTAAACATAGGTGATAATTTCTGGGAAAAATACATTCGATCCCCTAATAAAAACAAATAATAAGCTTGATTATAGCAATAATAACGTATCTCCTGGCGTATCTGTTCCCATTTCTTAGTTGTGCCGGGATTTAAGAAAAAAACCATTATTGTAATATTTGGTAAAAACAAATAAATCAAAATGTCATATATTTGATAACACATAAATTCCATTGTCAAAAACGAAACGAGACTACTGTACGTTTTTTTGTTCAGTATAACATGAATTATGCGTTTTACATTAATTCAGTGTAAATTTATTCTTCTTTATTTCCTCTGTTGTTTGGTTACTTGCTTCGGTTTGGGCACCCGGGAAGGATCACAGCCCTCACACAAATCAAATGAGATTTGTGTGGCCCATATGTATCTGATGCCTCCTTGTACCAGTATTTATGTGTTCAAATAAATAAATAAATACTATTGTTTGATTATGTTTAGTATTTGTTAACTGATTAACAAATACTAGTTAACATGGTTGATGCCGTGTTTTTTTTTTCTGAAGAGTAAAGAAAGTCTTCTTCGGATATCAGTTTTTGTCTTTCTCGTTACATTGTATAGTTCTCAATGTTTTTCTGTTTTAAGTATCAATGTTTCTGCAGATATAACTTAAAGAAATAATAAATAAATATTTATATTGTTATTGTTATCCTGTTTTATTTATCTCCCATAGGTTAGAATTAATTGAAAAACTCAATCCACAAGTAGTGGAGAATGAAACCATACTAAATAATACTTCCCAATGTTGTAATGGTTATGGTAATAAAAATGATAATATTGATAATAATGTCATTCATGCAAACAAAACAAGAGTGGGCAGCAATTCGAATAGTCCTGTTCCCTCGACTTATAAACTGTCACAGTCCAATGGTGTACAACCATTCATGCCAAAACATTTGATTACACCGAACCCAATTTTTGGGAAATTGCTTCATATGAACACAGGTTTTCAAGAAGATGCCGCTGTAAGTATATATAGGATTTATGTAAAGTATTCTTTGTCGTTTGTTAAAGAAAAATTTACGCTTGCCAGTCATTTAGGTTATATAAGGGATTTATGGTAATTGTTGAGTTTCATAGTTTACATTACAAATAGACTTTCGTTAGACAATTGTTGAAAACTAGCAAGGATTGAACAGCTGTTTCTCCCAAGTACAGGACTCCTCAGCAGTAGGCATCCACGACTGAAACACAGGTTTATGTTCTTGGCTTTGAGTTGCACTTTAGTTGTGTGATGAAGTTCATTCGATTTTCAACCTATAAACCACATGCTCGAACCGTCCTTCATTTAATTAGGTTCAGATAACCAGATGTGTTATGTTCTTCAGTTATGTCCTATTAAATCATTCTGAACTATTTATTTAATTTGATCGGTTTAATTAACTTGGATCTCCCGCCTGTTGATGATATTGAGCGTTTACGTTATAATTGATAGTTTGAATAGGTGGTCAGTTAATTGTATGAAATGTTTCTTTACGTTAGAAATGTTAAGCTTGTTTTTATAATCAGTACTGAGTTTAGCAACAATCATTATTTTGTGGGGGATTTTATTCAATGAGTAGTATTTCATGTGATAAGAAATATGGTCCAATTTATTCAACGTTTAGAGATTATAATTTCTATATATTTGCCAGTATGATTAACTTGCTGATACCCTTCTTCTTCTTCTTCTTCTTCTTCTTCTTCTTCTTCTTCTTCTTCTTCTTCTTCTTCTTCTTCTTCCTCCTCCTCTTCTTCCTCTTCTTCTTCTTCTTCTTCTTCTTCTTCTTCTTCTTCTTCTTCTTCTTCTTCCTCCTCCTCCTCCTCCTCCTCATCATCATCATCATCATCTTCTTCTTCTTCTCCTTCTTCTTCTTCTTCTTCTTCTTCTTCTTCTTCTTCTCCTCCTCCTCCTCCTCCTCCTTCTTCTTCTTCTTCTTCTTCTTCTTCTTCTTCTCCTCCTCCTCCTTCTTCTTCTTCTTCTTCTTCTAAATCGCACATTCAAATCTCAATTCTCTTACTTCGGTTTGGACAATGGGGTAATATCACTATGCCTCAGATATAGTATGGACTGATGCTCGGATTTTTGAGTATTCAAACTTTTTCAATCTAGTGAAAAAATTTCATAGTTATGATTATGATTGTTGCATTTCTTTTCTAGTATTCTTTTAATAAATGAGAACATCGAAATTATTATTATTGTTTAGTTCATAAAAAAGCTTTGGAATAACTGCGCTCCAAAGATAGTATGTGTTACACAAAATAAGTTTGTGTGTAGGCCGGGATACTGCCCGGTCGCACTAATGGAAGTAGCTGATCTTTTATGGGATCATTCCTTAAACCTAAGTCTAATCCACAAGGTAATAGAGTAACATCAGGAGACGTTCTACGGTAGCTACTGACCAAAAATAGGTTCATACGTCATTTGTTTCTTCGGTATTCTGAAGCCCATGTACATCACTGGTTTGGAATCAGAGTTTTCCGATTCCCTTAGGTCAATCCACTCACCCGGTTCAAATCACCATTCACTTTGGATCCTCTCACTTTTGCAAGCAACATTCCCAGCTCATTAAGGTAGTTAATAGAGACTCTCTAGGAAAGGGTTTCAACTCACAAATATATGAAGGGTTTTTAAGAGGGAGAGTGAATTCTTTCTACTCTCGGCGGTACCAGGGCATTTGGGGACTGATTGATAATAGATTATACTTGATATTGTGAGCAACTTCAAGCTTAATTTTTTGCTTATTTCTTTCACTCAGGAATGCTTGACTTATCTGCTTACACAATTACATGAAGAACTGGGGTGTACAGCGGTAGCTAAGAGTACAGATGTACATCTTTTGAATGATACAGATCAAAGTCAAAATGATTCAGAATGGATAGTTACTGGTCGAGCTGGCAAACACTTTCCAGAAGCTAGAAAAGTTTGTTGTCACTAAAATTTTTGGTTATTGTCAATCTTTTTTTATGGATGTATTGATTAGATTAAGACTTATATAAAGAGTGTGGGACGTTTTCATGAAATGAAGTTGAAGCACTCATATGTTTGTTTTGGCCAAGAATTCCCAAAATAATCAAAGTATTGTTCGTTTGTATCTAATAATCATATACATAATAACACACTAGTGTAAGCTATAAAAAGTTCGAATGACAAATTACAAAATTTCGTTTCAGTTTTCATGTAAATCATGTGGAAATTTAATGGATTACAGGAGTGTCATGGATTTTCTAAAAAAAACCCCTTAAGCTTCTTTATATGGGAGAGAATAGACCATAATTACGAGTTGTTTGGAGTCCCTCAGTGGAATTTATCTTTCTTTTACGCGCTTTCTGAAAGTCGACTGTTTCGTTTCCCAAAAGTTTCTGTAATGGTGACGGTATATACAATCTAATTGCTTGAACAGGAATATATGTAAGTGGTTCGAACCTGCGACTTAATGCCTAAAAGTTGAATGCTTTAACCACGGAGCCGCTGTTCTGTGTATTAATTAAATTTGGAATTTTTAACCACATAATTTCATTCCGGTGAGTTAATATCATCTCATTCTTACCGCAAAGTTAATACTTGTCAGAAAAGCATACTTGCAATCTTGAGTGGATAGATTCTCCCTATGAGATTCAAATCCGTTTCAACCAGCTTCAGTCTTTGGGAGTTATATACAACTTATCATAAAGGAAAGTGATGAAAAGATCTTTGTTCGAAATACGAACTTTCTAGGTCTATAACTTAATCCAGGTGTTTAAATTAAATAATTCAAATAACAAAACGTAAAAAATGGTACTTTTTGTATTATTCTTTGCAAATTGATCAAAAGTTAATTCTTCAAAGTATGTACACATCGTTTGTAATAATAATACAAACTTATTGAAATCAAATTACTAACGTAGTTAACCAGTAAGGGCAAATTTGTTATTCTACAGCTGGGAAGTAAAATTTCTTATCTTAATTTATCTTCTTATTTGTTTTTCAATTTTCTATAGATAGAACTTGATGGTGGTCAAAGTCCTATTGCTTCATTATTTTGTGGTACACTTGTAACTCGTTCTAATCTAAGCAAATCAGATAGTAGTTACAATGTTCATAATTATTCAACTGTAAATAGTCATGCCAAAAAATCTGCTATCAAAGAACCATTTTTCATGCTTCATGTACCTATAGACAATCCTCTAGTAAGTATGTGTTCATACTCACCATATTCTAGTCAGTTTCTGTTAATTATTATCGCTGTTTTCACAGTTTAAATCACTAACCGTTCTTAATTAAGCAACCGTTGAGAACTTGGAAGCACTAAATGATCGTTTCGTCCCGGTACGGGACTCCTCAACAATGAATGTCCATGACCTCGCGCATGAACACAGCCTCTAAACCACCTGTTCGGTATCCAACTGTGTTAATGTCTAGTTTTAATCAATTCACGATATTACAAAACTGTCAGGCGGCCTGCTTAAATACCTGGGCTATCTGTTGCTGCCATTTAAATATTTCAACAAGTCTGTTAATCGCATAACTTATTCAGGTGCGTTTATGAAAAGTTTACTACCTTTCACTGTACAGGTTACAAAAACTTACAATCAACGACATTGTGATAGCTGGCAATATGCATTCAAAGGACTGAACATTATTCAGATGTCGATTCCTGAACTGCTTACATCTAACTGGCGATCACTGAATATTTATCGCAAGGGTCGATCAAGAAATAAGAAAAGGAAACTTGTTAAAATACTTTGTGCTGGAAATTCTATATTGTACCAAAAATATTATATTGAATAAAGCCATTAATAATAATAATAGTAATCACATACACCAAATAAATATCCCACACTCGACATAGTATTTTTATAAATTCAACTTCTATGTACTCACTTGAGAGGATCGCTTAATTATTGGCCCCACCAGTGATAAGTCCACTTTGTTTCAATACTATTGCAATAACCCCGCTTCGGTTTGGGCGCTCGGGCAGTATCCCGGCCCTCACACAAATCGAATGATGAAGTGCGGCGCATATATATTTGGTACACCCTTGTTGTAAGAATGTTTATGTTGTTCAATAGAGAATAAATAATTAATGACCTGATTGTCCTGACGCTTCTTATTAGCTCATGAAAATTCTTTCTGTTTTCAGCCTGTTCAAATAGATCACAAGAGAATTTGCCTTGTTTACCTTCTATTGCATGACTCAAATACTTATATATATATATCCATTTATAATACACATGTTTTATTATGTTGTATCATCATTTGCAAAGAAATTTGTTTCCACGCTCTGTGTTGGTTAATTTTCTATCACTATGATGTAGTTGCTTCTACTGCTGTGGTCACTTGACTACAACTTACACACACACACACACACACTTGACCTATAAAACAAACAAATGGTGTATACATTGACGTGCAAAATCAGTAGAATTCTAAATATAGAGTTGCAGTTTTAGTTAGAAGTATAGTATGACGATGAGCTAATCCATAATCAAGGAAACTATCAAGTTTTTTGTACAAACTTCAAGAAATAAATCATTTTTATCGTGAAATACTTGATAGAGATACTTTTATACAGTGTTCAGAATGTGTACAACTGTTATTTTTTTAATTTCAACACATATATTGGTACAAAAAGGCACCAATTACATATATACGCCACACAAATCTCATTCGATATGTGTGAGGGCTGTGAAACTACCGGGGTACCCAAACGGAAGCAGGTTGTTTTCTTAGGGGGGCACTCCCCGAGTCTTCGACCTGAAGGTCTGATCCACAAGGCAATGGAGCATCGAAAGGAGATGTAGTCCCATGGTAGCCGGTGACCAACGATTGGTTCATACGCCATTTGTTCCCGCAGGATACTGGAGCCCATGTGCACCATTGGTTTGGAATCCGGTTAAAGCGCCGGACATTCGGTTTTCGTCCTCTCAATTTCGTAAACAACACTCCCGCCACGAGAAGGCAGTGATTAGGACTTCCCTGGCAGAGGCTATGTAAGCGTGGCCATGTGAGAGCATTTCGAGAGGGAGAGCGGACTCTGCCCACTCTCGGCATTTGGGGGCACAACTGTTACGGAAAATACTGAGCGTCATTTAATTTATGGTTAGTAAAAGTGAGATATGATTAACCACTGAGCGTCAATAGATACTAACTAAATAGAAACTGACTACTAATTATTTATTATCTTATTCCCTTTCCTATTGATTGATTTCTTCTCTGAACTCACTGAGTTTAAAGTGCGCATAATTATGTTGAATAAAGTATTATCTCTAGTCTGATTACTCGATATCTCTATGTTTGGTCGTGAATCGTATATCTAGTATAATGTGATCCCTGTCTATGTACTACGTATCGATCGAGTATCTGGTCTAAAACTAGAAAAATTCCTATCAGCGGTCGTGTCGTTGTATTTTAGTAGTATAACGTAGCAAACAGAAAATATTTCTTTATTAATATAGGGGTGTGTGTGTGTGGAGATTGTAGTATTTTCAAAATTGATCTTAGCTGGTTTACCATTAAAAGCCTGGAACTACTGGATGGTCGTTTCATACTAAACTTCCTCCTAACGTTGTTCTATAATTCCTATATATGTAATTCTTAAGCAAGTTTAATTAATTTAATATTTTCTAGGCACTAATGAATTTCCTATAAAATTATCCATGATCTCAATATAACAAAGCTTTAGAGTGAATATATATATTCGAATTGTTGAGATTATGTAGCAATCTATGTACAATATTAAAATCAGGGATACTGATAATAAGGATTTTAAAAAAACGAAACTTCCTAAAATCATTAAACTTTTACAAGTTCCGTTATTTCTGCTGTGAATATCCTTTGACCTATAAAAAACTCTCTGGTTATGTTGGCTGGAAAGTGGCTTTAAGTTCACGCGATTAGTTTAAGAATCTTTAAAACTCGTACTCTACGATATTATACTTTTATTCCAGGTAACGTTCACCTTAGGATGTCGATTGTAGATGTGACATTCCTTTTTTTTTCGAAAAAAAACACACCAGTTTCTTGTACAATCATCCTGTGAAAATAACAAATTTACATGAATCACTTAGTCCTTCTGGTTTGCATTCCATTCAAATAAGAGTTTGGATTTGCTCAAACTCATAATTAAATCATGTCATCATTATTAATGAATTCAATGAATAGACACTATTATGAGAGATCATTTATGATAAAGTATTTGTGACCTAATCAAAGATTGAAGCATATACTGATCTCCTCTTGAATGAATAATTTTTTAAAACGAAAAATGTTTGCTTGAAGATAGAAAAAAAAGAATAAATCTTGTGCCGGGGAAGTCCTAATCACTGCCTTCGCGTGGCGGGGGTGTTGTTTACGAAATTGAGAGGACGAAAACCGAATGTCCGGCGCTTTAACCGGATTCCAAACCAATGGTGCACATGGGCTCCAGTATCCTGCGGGAACAAATGGCGTGTGAACCAATTGTTGGTCACCGGCTACCATGGGACTGCATCTCCTCACTATACTCCACTGCCTTGTGGGTTAGGCCTTAAGGTCGAAGACTCTGGGAGTGGTCCCCTAGGAAAACCACCTGCTTCGGTCTGGGCACCCGGTAATATCACAGCCCTCACGCAAATAGAATGATTTATGTGGCACATATCTACTTGGTGCCTCCTTGTGCCAATATCTATGTGTTAAAATAACTAAATAAATAACTCATAAGTTGTATAAAACTGTATTTAAGCTTCTTTAAATTCTTAAGAATATAAATTCTATGCTCCTTGGCCAATGAGCAGTACAAACGATCTAAGCTCTTCAGTGTTTCATAAGATCAGGAGTACTGTATAGTTTCTACTAGTCGAACTGGTAATTCTTACACGTAACCGATTAATACATCACAACTGAATGAATTTTGCGAGAACAGAAACATTGACTTATTAACTGAATAATAATTAATAATAATAATATAAAGCTGTTTTTTATATTCACAATATTTGATCAATAGAGTCAGTCAGTCGGTCATAATCATCCTAAAGCTGTGGCATACACGTGCGTTGGTCTCACTCGCTCCAGTTATTGTGATTGACCATCAAGTAATTAAGTCAATACATGGTCAATCAGTTATCTTAATTCATTAATTGTGCATATTAGATGTTCTTAAGCTAATAAATTGACCTTAGGTAAACTTAATAATATGAGACTCAAATGAGATTTTATTTTAGCAAAATTACTCATATTTACATATGCTTGTCTTTTTTTGTTGATGTGACATATCTCACCTACTTTTATGTGTGTAATTTTGATTACAAATTATATCATTTTCCACAGGTTAATTCCGTTGAATCAGCTTTACGGTATTTAGCTGAACTTGAAGTAATAACAGATTATCATAATTCTTCTGATTCTCAAATATCATTGGTACGTCGTCGATCAATGATAGATCGTCTTCCACCGTACTTAATTATACAATTGAAACGATTTTATAATGAATCTAAGGTGAAAAATGTATCTGAAAATACATCTGTAAATAAATTTAACTCTACTACATCACAAACATCTGTAATTATTCGTAAACATTTGAAATCAGTTAATATCCAATCTAAACTTCTTATACCAAAAGGTAGGTTCAAAACGCGGTGATTGGCGCTTGTATATTTTCATAATAGTAGCATAGATATGTGATGTTACTCTCATTTACCAAGTATAGATTTATGGACTCAGCTGTAGTCATGTTTTATGTCGGAGGATTAATGAGACTCTATTAGACTGTTCGAACCGAATTAGTTAGAACGTTGTCTGTAGATATGGCATGTGCTTTGCACCTTGTAAGTGTAAAGTATTTTACAAGACTGAGCCCGTTTGATTTCAATTTAATTAACATTCTAAATTGTCATTATTCTTATTTACCAAGGGTAGTAACGAATATCACGTTTGTTTAGTCTTTTGGTGCTGGTCAAATTCCATCGATTAAGTTACAGTGTGACCACTAGTCTAAGGGATTGTGTTCAAATGTTGGATTATTGGAGGTTGTCGGCAGGAGACCGCAGAGCTTAATTTTATGCTGATCGGTACTCGTCAGCAAGTTGTATCTAGAATCTTGAGGGAAATGATACTCAGACTACGGGATTAAGTAGCTTCACAATCTGAGACATTACTACTGATCTATTCTACCTGCACGAACCTGTATACGTATATATATTCCATTATCTAATCCATCACCTTTTTACTTTCTTTCTGTTTACACATTTAGAACTTTTAAATCAAGAAACACATTTCAGTCATTCACAACGTAATTATCGTCTTCAAGCTGTTATATTTCATGTTGGTGAAACAGTTGAATCAGGTCATTATACAATTGCTGTGCGTATAACTAATCCCCTGAAAAAATCAAACAGCAACTCTTCCACATTTATCTATTTTGATGATGATCGTGCTTGTGTGTTAAATAACGCAGAAAGTATAAATCTTCTACTAACCACACATCATCCATTAGATACAAAAAATTGTGTATTCCTTCATTTGAAAAAACCAAAAACATTTCAAACTAATCCTGAACACGTAATAACATCATCATCATCATCTAACCAACATCACAGTGCATTAAACGTTTCTATCAATCATCCACGCACACCGTATATTCTTCTCTATGAATCCCAAATAGGAGTTCATTCGGACACATGATGATGATGATGATGTGTACATGTCACTGAATCATTTTCTGTGTGTATGTGTATGCTGGCATTTCAATTATTCTTTTCCTTTCTTTTTCTATGGTTTTGATTTTTCTATTGTTTGATTGTGTAACTTTTTATTTTTAGCAAAAACTCTGAATTATCATTCTTTTTCCTATGAAAATCACTTGTAGACGATGTTTTATTTTTCTTACCATAGTTTTTGTAAAAATCTTTTCTTGTTTTCTGTTTGTGACAAGTTTCGTAAGGAGACCGCAGGGGGGGGTGGTTAACAATAAGGAACCATTGCGTGATTGCATTACATTTGTAATTAAATGAGTAAATTATTCAACAGTACATGTAGAATTTTGATACAGTAGTGGGCCAATCAGAAGTCATCAAATGATGTGTGCACATGATCGTCCAAGAAATAGCTTTAGTTTTTAATTGATAAAATATAAACCATTGATAGGCTTGATTACCTAAGAGACAGACGTATGTGTATGCTAATGAGTACACATACATGTTATTTGGTTCAGCCAATTAAACTTTTTCTTACTATTCATCTTTCCTCTTGAGTAACAGGGCTTGTGTGTAGAAAGTGTATCAGCATTGATTCTCTGTCAGCGCGTGTTATAGCCAATTTATTCTATTGTTGTTAACAATAGTATTCTTTTATTAAAGGGTTGTAATCTCTCGTTGTTGATGTTCAGGACTGTAACTGATCAGTGTTTGTTGTCATATTTGCGTTCTGAGCAAATTGTCTTTTTATGGTGCTTTAGTTTACTTGGTACTTGGATAGTTGGAGAATTCAGGATGAGGGTTTTAGTTGGGTCTCAGCAACTGGACGTTCTAGTGTTCTTTTATTTGTTATTTGAGTAGTTCTGATGTAACTGTTCGAGGCCGGTCACGCACAAGGTGTTTGCGGATAGTTTTAAGTGTGCTAGTTCCGTACTTATAAGATCTTACCATAGACGACGGAAATCCTTTTGGCAAGGTGTGATGTGCTGTTTTCAGGGCCTTCCCAGTCCTCTCCCGTTTTAGAAAGGCAGCATATCTGTAAATGTTGGTTGAGATAAAAAACTTTCTACCGACACAATCCTATGTACTCAGCAGTACGACTCGACCTGCGAACCACGAGTTTGTTGCGTTTAGTTTCACTGCTCTTCAACCAACCTGCTTGGTATGGTAGTTTCTAAAGGTATAAATATCTCAACGATTATAACTGGACTGGGTCATTACGAACTCGAAACCCAACTTCCACGTCAGGGTAGTTGGTATCATTGGGAGGTTTGTTATTGATGTTGATCACCAGTTTACTGTTATGATGGCAGTGCCTCGGAGTGAATTAACGAGATGGATATCAAAAATGTGGAATTGTCCGCTGTATCGACAGCACTAATTAAAATCGATAGCTGTCATCGTAAGATTGAGAAAATGAAACGGTATTTAAACAAAATTATCAGCTCATTGGTGGGCTACTTGGAGATGAGTTCGTGAAGTTTCGTCAGGAAGTTATCAGTGTAGTTCATTTATTTCAAGAGTGAAACAGATGTCAGCAACGATATAGGATAGTCACACTCTTTCACAAATTGAGTGAATATATGAAAGTAGCATCGGGTGTTAGTTCGGCTGTTTTAATCATTAACTGTTGTCCTCAAAAATTAGGAAGTTCTGTCTTCAATCGCCGGTCGGGTTGTAGATTTTCGCTCTTGAGGAGTTCTGTACTAGTACCTAACAGTCGTCCAATGTTTCCCGGTTCTTAGCAGTACTTCAACTGAAATCATTGTGCGATGAATACCACCTAAAAATCGAAGTAATCTCCATATAACCCCTTCACCTAAAGAGACAAAAGGATTTTATTTAGATGGTGTTTTACCAAGCGTATGACCGAATTCAAATTGAATGTTTTATATATCTATTGAACACATTGTTGACAATGATGACATTGGTCTTGACAGTTTGAAAAAATACTTTTAAGTATGATTTTGTGACAAGGTTTTCGACCATAATTTTCGATACCTGAGCCTTGTGAACCCTAATCAGAAGACAAACTCATAGAAACTACACTTCCGCAGTTATTTTGTGTATTACAAACGTGGTATATTTAAGATAAAATGTGAGTTTAGGACTGTAAAAATAACTGAAAAGGACAATAGTGTAGTGTCAGTTATTATGCCAAGCCCATATACCTTATTCGAGCTTTCGGACATCCCATTCTATTCATTTTACTTGATCAATACACTGACCTTGTTATTTATTCGCTTATCAATCTAGACTGTTTTTATATGAGCGTATATGTGTGTGCCCTTCTTATCCTATTAATCACATGTCTGTAGCTTTATTTTGTCTGACTGTAAATATTGAGTAACTCTTGACTGAAATGGAGTTGGCTTCCCAGCCATCTTCCATACGTGTCATTTTTGCTTTGCTGTGCTTCATTCGCTTCATGTACGAAATATATGTATTCTCAAGTCAATTCTCGTTATTCGACTTATTTAATTCCGTTATTGGATAACGCGATTTAAGTCGACGATGATATACGAGAAAAGGCGATAACAAACATCCATACAATCATTCGTACGCTCTAATTGGAGTCAGATCAACGGGCCACTAAAGTGGTGAGCCCTTCAATGAACATCTTCCGATCTAAACGAGGACAAAATCAAAATGACGGGCCACAAAAATAGAATTGATAATCGATTCGACACATAACGTATCAGTTTGAAGTGATTTCCTGGTTTTTCTGTTAAGTTTGCAAAACACACGGATTGAGTAAAAGTAATTTTCTCAGCTTCTACGATTTAAAAATGTCCTTGGAATAATTTATAATATTCAGGTGAAGTATATAACTGCTCTATCCATAATCAAAGGATGATATTAATACGTAACTGGGCATTGATTTATGAAATTGTCTACTTTATAATTTATTCTAAAAAGAAATCGAAGGAATTTGTTTAAGATTCATATTGAACGTTGTAAAATAATTTCCACCAATCTACTGATTTCCATTTATCTCTTGAATGAGATCTTGTAATTTGTCATTAAAGATTATAACACGTAACGAATTACCATGATATTAAAAATGATCGATAATGATGTATATTATTGGATAGTAGTAAGTAATATAGCGTTATACACCAAAAAAAGGAATCGAGTGAGAACAACCAAAGTTAGTTGGGATATAATTTAAATTTTACGTTTCTTTAGACCATGCATCTTTAGTCATCTTTGTTACTATCTACAATGTAATAATAACAACAACAGGAAATGATTAAAATATAAAAAAAACAGAACATTTTCTATGCCAGATTATGTTACTATTTGTTTGATACAATCATCATATTGGATAATCATTCTATTTAATCAATATAAATCGTCTTATCAATTATAGATTAAACTTGTTAACTTGTTTCTAAGTATGATTTATCTTCTAATATTGGATAGTGTAGTGTCAAGAGTGGGATTCTATACGTTCATAATATTGGATAGTTTTATAAATAATCAATATTACTCTTTATTGATTTATACATCATCAATATTATTTCTTTATCATTATTATTATTATTATTATTATTATTATTGTTTTGATCTATTCAATTAAGTTAATCAATAATAATAAATCGTTCAACTTATTCGACATATTACAGATCTACAGATCTACTCTATTGAATCAAGTCTAATCGAAATGAAACCTAGTTTCTAATTAATTAATGGTAATGACTTATAAGTGTTTACCTAAGATAATGACTCTTTTATTTATTACTGAAATAAGATCATTAGAATAAAAGGAATTGAGAACTATTCATCTATCGTTTCTTTTTCGGTCTAAAAACAAAAGGGGTGACGATGATCAATGGCTATGAATTAATAATAGTTCATTATAGGATACTTAATTTAAGTAAGTTTTATTCATTAATGAATTAGATTTCTTTCAAATATATAATTCACTGGTTACAATTTAATTAAGGGTAGTAAAATCTATAAGGACAAGGTCAAAGGAAATTTTTTTAATAGATAAGGTAAACATGTTGAAATGTCACTGGTTAAGATAATGAGTCAGATGAAGCTAGATCACCATGGAAAACCCGAAAGCACTGGACGGCCGTCTCGTCCTATTGTGAGACTACTCAGTAGTGCGCACCCACGACCTCGCCCCGTGCGAGGTCCGGACCCAGGACCTACTGGTTTTGCGCGCGAGCATTTAACCACTAGACCACTGAGCCGGCATCCAACGGTGTTAATGTCTAACTTCGACTAATCCACGAAATTGAGAGACACATCCACCATTGTCTTCAGTGAGTTACTACCTCACAACTGACCCAGTTGAACTCCACTGGTCACTACTCACTAGAACCAGTAGGTTCTGGGTTCGAATCCCGCAGTGGGCGAGGTCGCGGATGTGCACTGCTGAGGAGTCCCACAGTACGACGAAATGGCCGCCCAGTGCTTCCAGGTCTTCCATGGTGATCTAGATTCAAATGACTCATGATTATAACCATTAAAATTACTACAATATCCACAAAACCCATCTTATATCGAAATATCAATGGCTTTAATGAATATGAACTACGGATGTATGAAATGGGAAGCAACAATATACCATAGTGACAACTGTCAGAGTATAAATATGCTTTGAGTTATAGAATTTTGAAACTGGAATGAAATTTAAAACGTGTTGTAAGATAGCTTATACCTTAATTAGAGTTCAGTATATTTAGTTCTTAATGTGCTAATAATCTGCTAATCATGTACTGGAAGTACTTGAGCCATGATCAAGGGTGTCTTTTTTGTAAAAAAGATATTCACAAACACACACACTCTAATCTCATCTTCTAAATCTAACCCTCTCAACTTTCACCACTAATACCAACATAATAGGCATTGTAATCATTGTTCAAAATAATTCATGAAGCGAATCCTAACCAGTTAGATTTCGGATTTCATCTGTTGAATTTTCGCCACAAATTAATCAGTCCATGTTGTTGCATAGTACTCGTTCAAAATAACTGATATCAATTCACAATGAGGATACTGATCTTAAACAGCAACCGTAATACTTCTGATATTAGTCGTTTTAATGTATGAATTAATGTGAACGAAAGGACATTTAGAAAATTCAGTACGTTTAGCCTTACTACTAACTAGTAGCACAAATTGAATTGTCAAAATACCGACGAAACATCAGTAATGATTTTTTGTTCAAACCTTATTTAAAACTAACACATCAATAGTTTTCCACAATCACAAAACTTAATTCAAATTTTATTTCAGCCGGACCCAAAAGAGGAAGGGATAATAAACAGGTTTGGAAGGTCAGTATGTGCAAATACTATTGACAATAGTGTTCAATATTCACGAGCACTAGCTGAATGGAGGTAGTCTACCGAAAACTCTGCTGAAAGTAGGTTCCGAAGTAGTTGGCAATTGTCATCAATGTATAACTAATAGTCAGGGATCTAGTGCACTCTATGGGCTCGAAGTCGTTGCATCCAGTCTCACACTCTGAGATGTTTCTACTAAGTTATTTGAACTGAATTCAACTTTCTGTAGAGTTGAGATATTCAAAACTAATTGGTCACTGAGTAGTGGTCAGTGTCAAGTTTGTCCAGTACTTCAGAAGTGATGAGTCCCAAATGGTACAACCTATAGATACAAGGTTTCCAACTAACCAACTCCAACCATATAACACTAAAACATAGTATATAGTTACGTAAACTACTGGCCAAATTGTAATTTAATCGATAGAATTCGATTAGCACAAAAGGATCAGATAAACATGAGATTGGTCAATACTCAGTGATATATCAATTGTTAATATTCAAGAACATCTATTACTTTCATTAATAGTATTAATTACCCTGTGCTAACAAGTGACTAGTTTCGGGATGTGCTCCATAAGTTTACGTGTCCTTGCCAAAACGGTTACATTGGCCAAACATAAAGGAGGGCATATCTTAGATCTTTTGAGCATGTTCCAAAAAGCCTTAGAACAAGAGAAAGAAAAACTCTAAACAATACATTCACCAAACATCTCCTTGATACAGGAGACATCAATTCGACACCTTGCAATCCTTCAAGGTGATTAGTAAGCGTCCAAACTCTAGTATTCTGAAGTTCGCTGAAGCCGTTGCTATCAGGTGTCAAAAACCTGACTTATGTATTCAAAAGGAGGTGCTTGTTGATCTTTCCTTGCCTTGGTGACAAATATTCCTTCGCTAAATCTTAAAATTTTTTTCTTTTTCTTTAAACTCTTTGTTGAATTTACTACATCATTGAATTT